GTTCATGGCGGAAGACATTTCTCAAAAACTCGGAGCTTTCCAATTATCGAAGAACGAAGCCAATATCATCAATATTGCAGATGGGGACATCCACCAGAGTGCTGACGACTGCGAAAAAAGTCTGATTGGGAAAATTATTGGCTAGAAATCAGCGGGAATAATAGGACTTAGAAGAGCAGTCAATCAAATGTGGCTAATCAGAGCTCCTGTAACAGTCCGAGAAATCAGCACAAATTTTTTTCAATTCCTCTTCTCCAATAAGGAAGACAGAGATAAAGTGAGAAAGGGTGTTTGCTGGACATTTGAAGGACAATTTCTAGTCATCAAATATTGGAGAGAAGACTCTTCTCCAGATCACCCAGAGTTCAAAGAGCTTGATATTTGGGTGCAAGAATGGAATATCCCATTGAATTGGATGTCGCCTGAAGTTGGTATGAAGATTGGTAAAGCATTCAGAAAAACCAAGGACGTCCAAGTTCCTCAGGGGGGGACCTTAGCGGGGAAATGCATAAGGATTCTGATCTCCATGGACATCAATCAACCGATCCTCGGGTGCGCTACTATTCAACATGGAAGCAAGAAAATCATTGTCCAGTTCAAGTATGAGAAATTAGTGAGCCTCTGCTATTATTGTGGCTTGTTGGGACACATAGAGAAGAATTGCACTGCTAGATCAGAGGACATCGCTCAGAACAATCTCCAAGCAGGGAAGTATGGGGATTAGCTCAAAGCCTCCGAACACTTCTTCTCTAACCATCTGAGCCAGTTCAACAATAATGTGGATCCCCTCTCAGGAAGCAACACCTTTACCAAATCACCAACTGAATCAGAGCATGAGAATATCCAGTCCAATAATAACCAACCCATCATCCAGCCAGATATACAACCTGAAGCCAATTTGCACCCATCATCCCCCTCACCTCCTCTTAATCCTCTGCCTTTAACCTTAGCCCTCCCATCTCCTGAGCCCCAACCTCAAAACCAACCAATGGATACTGAAGCACCTCTGTTTGATGTAGTTATCCAGCAATCTTCTCCCCTTGTATCTGAACCTCTTCAACATACTCCTCCCATTATCTCTAATCAATTAGCCAACCTTCCCCATCAGAAACCCAGAGGCTGGAGAAGGAAACAAATTCTGGCCACCCCTGCTCCCCCCAAACCGAAATCTGTTAGAGGGAAAAGAGCTATCCTGGATATCTTGAAAGATGACAACCAAGTTAATCAACAAGATCAGAAACCAAGTGCCCAGAACAAGAAGCATAAATCAGTCCAAACTCAGGTGAATGTGGCCAGCCTTCTAGGGCCACAAAGTGACCAATGAAGGTAGCGGTGTAGAACTGTAGAGGTGCGGGTGGCCCCTCTACAGTTTCCCAAATCAAGGAGACTTGGAGGCTCCATCACCCAAATTTTCTTTTTCTTTCAGAAACTAAGAAAAATAACAAATTTCTTCAGACTGTTTGCAATAATCTAGCTATTGGTAATTGTTGGTCCTCAGTTGAGCCATTGGGTAAGAGTGGGGGTCTTTTTGTTTGTTGGGATAGTGACATTCAGGTGTTCAATGTCATTAAGCACCAATTTTGCATGGAGTTGGAGTTCTGGGATGAGAAGCATGCTTGCATTTGCTGGGGTATATTCATATATGCTAGTACAGATGTGCAGAGCAGACTGGGTCAATGGGCCTATCTTGAGGAAGCTAAGCAGAAATGGGGCAGCCACTGGTTCTTAGGAGGAGACATGAATGGTCTTTTGATGCCTGAAGAAAAGAAAGGGGGAAGAACTAGACCCAGCAGTTTCTTTTCTAATTTTAGAGGCTTCATCAGCAGAATGGAGATGCTAGAAATAAATATGGTGGGGCATCTCTATACCTGGGGCAACAACAGAGTGGGAGAGGGTTTTGTGAAGAAAAAACTGGACCGGCTGTTTGGATCTCTCTCGTGGTCTGCGGCCTACCTAATGCAACAGTTCACAACATCTTCAAGAGTGCCTCGGACCACAGCCTGTTGATGCTTGACTGCTCTAAAAAATTCTTGCACAAGAAAAGAAGATTCATCTTCGACAGAAGATGGCTGCAACGACCTGGTATAACTGAGACTGTGGAGAAAGGATGGGCTAAATTCCAAGATGGTACTCCCATGTACCAATTCCAGCAGAAAATCAAAAAAATGAGAGTGGAGATATTGAAATGGAGCAGTAACTTTAGAACTGAAGATGCTAGAAAAATTTCCAGACTGAATCATGAACTTTCTGAGATGAGGAAAGCAGGCCAACTCATTGATTGGGTGA